AAGAAGTCCCTCTAAGATGTACAAGCACTTGCTGGGGAAGAGACTGTTTGGAGCTCTTTTATGTTACTATGTAAAAATACACAATTACAAACCAGGAGTAATCTGGAGAACACTACGCAGATTTGTTTCTGGTCCTTCTTTATGTCAAACACTGCTGACTTTCCCACATTAACTTATTTAGTAATCACACTAACACTGGCTGATTGGGTTTCAAGTGTTTCCCATTGTTGTGTAAATATATAATCTCGGGTAATGCTCGCAGTTTTTGTGACGGTGATTAAGAAAGGGATTGATGCTGTTAAATCTGTAATGGAGATCCCACTCCTACCGAGGGTGTTTCTGAGATCAGCTGCCTGTTCGGGCTAAGCCCGGGATGAAAGCACAGCTAATTGCTGCGCCCTCCGGCCCTCTGGCTCACTTCCTCTGGCTCACTTCAAACACCACAGAGAGCACAGGCGATTACGCCCGCTGACAGGCTTAAACAGCCTGACAAAGGACTACATGTTTTATATGACGGGGCAAATATAGGACTTTAACCTCCATAATTAATACTTATAAGGTCATGTTACAGTATGTCTAGGCACCCTTCAGTTTCCAAGCTGCATTTTTTCCCTTGACTTTCCAAGGGCACCAAGCCCTTCACTTCTCCATGACCTTCCCATATGCAAATATGCTACATATAAATAAATAAGACACTTCTACAGCATTTTTAACCATGGTGGGAACAAGAGAAAGGGTTACTTTGTTTGTAAAATGTGACTGTTTGGTTTTTTTATGTGCAACATTTCATGGACCAAAATTAATGTGGGTGTTTATACATGTGTGTATGCGTATTTGGGTGTGAGCGAGAGCTGACAGAGGGAGTGTATGTGTGTGTGTGTGTGGGCAGTACTTACACCCCAGAGTGCACTTTGATGGAGCCGGTGCTGGGAGGGATGCCGAAGGCCCCCAGGTCCATGGTGTCGTCACAGTAGGTCATCCGGCGCCCCAAGCCATTGGGCTCAGTGAACAGGTCAATGTGCGGCACGCTGTAGTCCTGGAACCAGCCAATTACAGCACAGTGTTTGAGCAGTGGACCAATCACATTAGAGCAGTGACCCAACTACACCACAGGGTCAAAGTAGTGAACCAATCAAATCAGAGTGTAAGAGCACTACAACGAACAGCAACAGTATAACTCAAGGTCAACCAATCATGCCTGAGTCAGGAGGGGAACAACATCAGGACTGCCAATCACATCAAGGAGTCAGAGCAGTGACCCAATCACATCAAGGAGTCAGAGCAGTGATCCAATCACATCAAAGAGTCAGAGCAGTGACCCAATCACATCAAGGAGTCAGAGCAGTGACCCAATCACATCAAGGAGTCAGAGCAGTGACCCAATCACATCAAGGAGTCAGAGCAGTGACTCAATCACATGTGAGCCATCACCTAATTGCACCATTGGGGTAGAGCATGAGCACCACAGAGATGAACCAGTCACATCAGAACTCAATCACACATTCAGCACATTTCACATGGTGCATGTGAAAAACACAGCAGCAATGCGAGAAACAAAGGTATTCAAAGTCTGTATTCATTTAGTGATGGGCTGGTAATTAAGGCGATCACATGAGACAACCCCTCTAAACCGTAATTCACATGTCTGTGTGACTACTCTGATTGGGTATGTCCAAAAAGTGACAGGGGGCAGAACAGAAAGACAGAGAGAGAGAACGAGTGAGAGAGAGAAAAAGAGGAAGAGAGAGTAAGGGAGTGTAAGAGAAGGGGAAGGGGAGAGCGAGAAAGAGGGAGAGATTGGGAGAGAAGTGTCACACTCACCCTGACCGCCAGTCGGATGGACCCAATGACCATGGGGGCCTGGGGGGCCGTTGGCTCCGCCCACATGTTCCCGAGCTCGATGCCCCCCTCCTCCAGGGCCACCCTGCGGCCGCAGAACCCGGGCTTCTCATACAGGATCCAGCTGAGAGGGAGGGGACAGAGCGGAAGGGTTACAGGGAGTTACACTCATACATCACATTCACTCTGTGAGGCATTCAGCAGACGATGATGTCCGGAGCAGTTTGCACATCTTGCATCTTCAATACAATTTTCTTGCATCTACAATCTTCATTGGTTGCCTAGTTTAGTTTTGATTGATTTAGTTTTGATTGATTGATTGTTTAAGTGACTGGCTTATTGATTGATTGATTGGTTGACTGGTTTCATAACTGATTTATTGGTTGACTGGTTTACTGACTGGTTGATTGATTGATTGATTGATTGATTGATTGATTGTTTAAGTGACTGGTTTACTAACTGGTTGACTGGTTGATTGATTGTTTGATTGATAGATTGGTTCTGTGCATGAGAGGAGTGAGTTGGTTAATTGGTTCTGTGCATGAGAGGAGTGAGTTAGATGATTGGTTGATTAGTTCTGTGCATAAGAGGAGTGAGTTGATTGGTTGAGGAGTGAATTGGTCAGGAGACCCAGCCTTACCATCCCCTCACCACCTTGACTGAGATGACCGCACTGAATGCCCATGCGGTGGCATCTTCCACGTCTCTGAAGATCTCCACAGCCTCCCCCATGAACCCAGCCTGCTTATGAATGACCAGCTGCAGGAGGAGGGAGGGAGGGGAGGGAGGGAGGGAGGGAGGGGAGGAGAGAGGGAGAGAGGAGAGGAGAGAGGGAGAGAGGGAGGGAGAGAGTGGAGGAGAGAGGGAGGAGAGAGAGGGAAAACGTGTTTATGGTGGCATGTACATAACTCAATACAGAAAAACATACAGTGCATGCTACACATGAAACAGTACTGTGAGTCAGCCTGGTGTCCATGTGTGCCTCTAATCATGATTTTCAATGTTCTGATTATTATTATTATATTTTAAATGACATAATGTCTTACATTAAGACCAACTTTGTCAGGTATCTGCCATGTTAGATATGACAGACGTTGAAAGGAGTGGATAGAGATGCCTTCAGTGAAAACATTGTGTGACTTACACTACATCACTAATGGAGATAACTTCAACAGTTTGTGGACAAATATCTCCTCTGGTATTACAGTGATTTATTGGAGACGTTGCAGCTGGAATGAATGTTATGTCTGTTCTGCGGTGCCTGAGGGAAAGTGTTTCACATTCTGACTGATGAGCAGAGGATGTGTGGGATCTGGGAGTATTCTGTGAGACGTAGGCTCTCAATGAAGCCTTACCTTTCCCGGCCGTTTGTGGAAGCCCCTCACATCAGGGACCTGCAAAGAGAAAAACGGTCAACAACTGCTTCCTACTCCATCCAGGCTGTTATACCGCATCCTGTATTATTAAATTATATATTATGGCCCAGCTTCTTAGACTGAAAGTTGTGTACCCTGATGGGTGTTGCTATGATAGTAGCTTGCCATTACCATAGTAACCCGGGCTAACAGTGATGTGCGTGATCCCGGACGAGCTCCCATTTTGTGATAGACCCCAATGGTAAATCCGAGTGGTAAATTACTATAGTATAATCAGAATAAACCACTCTGCACTGAGCAGGTATATGAAAATAAACCATGCCCTCAGCTGTGCCTCTGGACCGCAACACACTCCCCAAATCATGGTTTATCATGGTTTAATTATTATTATAAACGCCCAAAGACTGTTTTGCATCTGCTAATCAAGTTAGCCGTTTCCAGGTTTCTGAAGACATGAAGTGCCAGCTTTAAAACACCATTCTAGGGAGACCCCTTATACCGAGGGATTTACAATACAAACATGGGTGCAGGAATCGAAGCGTCATAACACCCTGGGGATGCTTCTTGCTCTGTTTTCATGTTTTATTGAACTATTTTGACTGAAATGTGCTATATAAATAAGAAAAATTACTAACAATGAAGATATCAATGAGGATTGATCATAAGTACATCATAAGAGCATCCATTTGAGTTATATGAGAAACAGTAACAGAGACCATGAGCCCAGCTAACGACTCTCCCAGCAACGTCACTCACACGTACAACAGCTGAAGGTTGTTCAGAACACTGAAATGTTTATATCTTTGAAACCTGACACTGAAGTGGCCCAGTATGGATACTCTATCCCCTCCAATTGTTCTTAGATCCAATTATAGCCATTATTTTTTTACTTCTCTGAAAGATACATAGTATTCTTTTCAGTGATCAGCCACCCTTGGCCTCTTCTATGAACTGGTTCATTCCTGTTCCGGCTTGCTGTGCTACTGTACAAAAATAAAAAAAGTAACACACTCAGAGAATTACACAGACAAAAACAGGCCAGGCCAAAGCCATAGAAATTCCTGGGCTTCCAGAGGGTCGATATTGGGGGCTTTGCTCTGAGACGCTGCCAGCGGATTCCAGAGGGCCGTCCCTCTGGCTCAGAAACAGCAGCTAGCGCTGGAATGTTCCTCCGCTGCTGTTAACTGTGCACTGACCAGGCAGCCTGCCTGCTTCCCCCTTAAACTACAGCTGTGTGTTGCGTGAAAATGTGGCAGAATAAAAACAAAAAAGATATAACTTTAAGCCCAGATTTTGTTTATAAAAACTAGTATTCAGTATTAGCAACCTTGGTCTCAGATAAATTACGCACAACGTTCTGCAAAAAGACCCACCTCCTTCTGGGCTGCAAGATCATCATTTAAAAAAAAAAAAACCACCAAGGAGCCAAATGTTTGCAAGATGTATGACATCTGTTTGTTTTTTTAAATACCTTAAAATGTATACAGTAATTAACAGTTTGTAGAAGAAGGTGTGCTGGCATTGGCACACCACCCACAAACTACAGGAGCATCTGTCACAGCTATCTGTGGATATAGATGATGCTTTCTTACTTTACTGTGATCCTAAGCGGACCCAAAAAGACCAAGAGCACATGTTGAGCTGCCCTGGTGTGTGATCATATGGCTGGAAAATATGAAGGTTTTGACAATGATGTAACGGGGCGTTTTTCTCACTGGCCTGCAAAACCCTGAATAAAAGCAGCCCAAGACTAAATACTGAAAGAAACAGGTACCGGGTTCACAGAGTGCCAGTGCAGTGGTTCAGCAGGCTAGACTTGAGGTTCAAAGATTGTGGGTTCAATTCCCAACTGCGGCATTGCTGCTGAACCCTTGAGAAAGACATTCTACCTGAATTGTTTCAGTGAATATCTACATATATGTGAAGAGATTGCATGTTTAAAAACATAGATTAGTGTCTCTCAGGATATGGTGTCCTATTCTGTCCTCAAACAGAGAAACAGCATGGCAAAACGAGGCCGTGTAAGCCCTGTTTTCCAGGGAAAACCTTTCCATCTCTTCCCTCATTCCCCATCCTTGCTTGCCTTCACTTGCATTGAGCCTGTTGACTCATGCAAAACAATAGCAGGGTAGGTGAGGAAGAATTCCAAACTTTCTCTCTCTCTTTTTTAGGTCATTACAAAGTGAGGTTTAACTTGGGTGATTCACAGAGGCTCGAGATGGTTAGCACATGGAACTCTCGGGAAAGTGGCCAGTTTTTCTGTTCCTCTCTGGGCCTGAGTCAGCACACACACACACTTTGTTGGTCTGAAACACACACACATCTCATGGGTCTGAAACACACACACACACACACCTTGTGGGTCTGAATTCCTGTGAATGTCAGAGTGAATCACAGTTTGTTCACCAACAACAGTGACAGGATTCAGGATTCAGGATTCAGTTTAAATCACACTCTGTCCTGACTGGACCTGCTCAGGCATTTTAAACAGAGAAACAGAGAGGCAGAGAGGCAGAGAGAGAGAGAGAGAGAGAGAGAGACAGAGAGAGAGAGACAGACCTGTTCCACTATCTCCTCTTAAACTGAATTTGTCTTTTTACTTAAACTCTGCAAACACAACCCAGCTAAACAAATCAGAGGGAAAAGGTATCACCAGTTTCCAGTCTTAACTCAAGTTATACTGAATTGTGTAGATACTTATGTAACAAATGCTAAAATTATGGGTACATCAGCTAACTGGCCATAATTCTCCCTGATTGGGGAATGTTGTCAGCCAGGTCTGGCACTCGTTTCAATCAGTTGAATACTGATTTCCCACAATGACAGCTGCTCTGGCTAAGTCTCTGCTAAAGTATGTAACAACACATCATGTCAAAGCCTGCTAAGAATCTCTACAGCTCTGAACAATTTGTCATTTACACAACATGTATGAAATATCCGTGGCTAGAGGTTTTTGTGGTTCCCGTTCAATCATATGCTGATTTAGGCCTTGAAAGTGAAGTCTGTGTTGCTCTTCATATGATCAATGACTTAAATGAAGGCCTTAAATGCAGAAACATGCCAAAATGGCACACAGACACAGTGTCCCTCTTATATTATTACTCTGATCGACACCCCAAACTTGGGCACTTACCTCAGGGTACTCTCCAGGTGGGATGGGGTGTGGAGGAGGAAGGTGAGAGGGGACAGGTTTCCGTGGTGGTCCCGGGACTGGAACTCCCTGCAGTGGGGAGTCTGGAAGCTGGAAGCAGGGAGGGGGGGCATGGTTCTGTTCCATCCCGGGGATGGGGCACCCAGGCCCCTGCAGGCACTGCTGTTCACCCAGTGAGCCCATCTGCTCTGCCCGGTCTTGGCCCAACAGCTTCTCCACGAAGTCCGGAAGCTTCACGTCGGCAAAGGAAGGCATTGGGGGTGCTGCCAGGGCGGAGGGGGCGGGGTTGGGGCCAGGGGCAGGCTGGGGCGCGCGCTGATCGGCCACGCCCGTAACGGCTTTGCCCGAACCCGGCAGTGCCGCCACAGGGAGGGGTGGCGGGAGAACCGGGACAGCGACCGCAGCCTGACTCAGTGGGAGAGGCGTTGGCTGTGACGCGGGTTGCTCTCGCTGCTCGGCAGGAGAAACTGACACCGTGTTCTCGGGCAACTCGGGCTCGCCGTTGGGCCTCCGGGACACCCTGGAGAAGTCCGTCAGCCTGGAAAGCACAGCGCTCCTCCCCAAGCGGGCTGAGACCTTCCCTGAGACCTCCTCCTCCTCCTCTTCTTCTCTTTTCTCCTCTTTCCTCTCCTCCTTCTCTGAGGCCTCCGGTGTCCCCTTCCTGCGGCGTTGGCTGGGGGACTGGAGCACCTGGAACAGCAGGCTTTTCTCATTGCCGACCCGTTTCTGCATGGCCTTCCCTTTGGCCTCCGCGCTCTGCCGCTTGATCATCATGGCCGGCGAGGGGTCCTTGGGGCCCGTCTTCTTCTTGTGGCCAAACTGGAACTCGGCGGGGTCGAACTCCTTCTCGAAGCGGTCCTCCTTGATCGGAGGGAGGGCGAACGGTGGCGAGGGAGCCTTGGGGTGCCCATGCCGCTTCAGGGGCAGGGAGAAGGGCACGCCCATGCTCTTCACGTTCTGGAGGAATTCCTGGAACTCGTTGGAAGGTTCCAGGTCTTCGTCCTCACTGGCGGAGGCGTCGAACCTCCTCTCCGCCCCGCCGCGGCCTCCGCTGCCCCTGCCGCTGCTCGGCTTCCTGGTGAAGCTCTGGTCCACATCCAGCCAGCTGGAGGGGACATCCTGCTTCCTGGGGGGCCCGCGGGGGGGCTGAGGGGGTTTGCTGGGGAAGAGGGGCTGCTGGACAGTGGCTGAGTCCTCTTTGGGGAGGAGAACGGGGGCCTCAGGTGCAGCTTTAGGGCTTCTGACCACATCAGCGAATGACATAGGGCTCCCCTTCAGAGCTCCCCCCTCTGTGCTGCCCTGTGTGGGTGCAACAGTGATGACGGCTGCTGCTGCTGCATCGCTCCTTTCATTCCTCTTCCTTTCCTCTTTTCCTCCTGGGGCTTGGCTGTCCACCAGCTTTTCTGAGCTGTTCGTGGGAGCCGTCACTGGGTCTTTGCGAGAGCCTTCCAAATTAAAAGCGGCTGCTTGCTCCAGCTGGAGCGCAGCCGGCTCCGGCAGGGGCCCGTTCAGAGTCGGCCCCCCCATAGCAACAAGGATTGGCTGTTTCTCTTCCCTACTTGTTGCCCTCTCTGGCCTGAGGGAGTTGCCCTGGACAGGGGTAGCAATGGCAGAAGGTGGGGCTGGCTTCGGCGGTTTGATCTTACTGCGAGCTTTGCGCTGTGGCATTTCCCCCTCTGCCTTCTGGGAGTGACTCACGGGTGCCAGAGCTTCCTCTTTATGACTGGTTTCTGGGACAACTGCTGTTGCCATGGTAGCGGGAGGGGTCTTGTTCTTCCTGTCCAGGCCATTCTCTGCTGGCCCCTCCTTCCTCTCAGGCTTCTGTCCCAGGCTAGGCAGCTGCTCCACAGATTCCCCTGGAGCCGTTTGATCACCTGACTTCTGGCCAGGAGAACGGATCTCAGGGACACCGACAACAGCTTCTGTGGCCTCAGGTTTCAAGATCTCATCTGCTGTCTCCATGACTACAGGCGCTGGGGTTGGTGTGGGCATGGGGGTCTTGACAGGTGATTGAGCAGGTGTTGAAGTGGGTAGGTGTGCAGGTTTATCAGAGGGTGTTGGGGTGGTTGTCTCTGCAGGTGTGGGTGGAGTTTGGAGCTCAGGTGGTGGGGTAGATATAGGTGTAGGTTTCTCAGACAGTGTTGAGGTGGGTGTTTCTTCAGGTGTTGTGGTAGGTTCTGAGGAGGGTATCTCTGCAGGTGCTGGAGCAGTCTTAAGTTCAGGTGTTGAGACAGGTAAACTCTCAGGTGTTGGTGAAGGTGTGATTTCAGGTGTTGGAGAGGTTTTGAGTGCAGGTGCTTTGTCAGGTGTTAAGGTGGGGGTTTGTGTAGGTACATCACCGGGTGTTGAAGGAGTTTTGAATTCAGGTGTCTTATCAGGTGTTGAGATGTTTGTTTGTTTAGGTGTATCAGAGGGTGCTGAGGCAGGTGTTTGTGTAGGAATCTGTGTAGGTGTATCAGAAGGTGTTGGAGCAGTTTTGAGTTCAGGTGTTGAGGTGGGTATTTCAGCAGGTGTAGCAGCCTGTGCAGGTGTTGGGGCAGGGATCTGCTCAGGTGAGTCGGACACTCTCCTTGCATCACCTGCCTGCTCAGTCTCTCTGGGCTCGGCTGCTTTGGTCTGCACAGTGGGCTTGCCCTTCCTCTTTGGAGCGGCTGAAGATCCTCCCTCCTCAGGGGCGCTGCTCTGGGCCTCAGCGCTGGGGGTTTCCCCTGCTGATCCGGCCTCCACTGCACCAGCTGGGGCAGGGCTGTCAGGCAGCGTAGCTGCCTCATCTTGGGCCTTGTCCAACTGTTTGACAGATTTCTTGTTGGGTTTGGGTTTGGGTTTTGGGGGGCTTCTGGTGTTCGGCATGGGCAGTTTGCTCCCGCCTTGCGCCCCATCATTTTGCTCCTTTGCTGCATTTTTGGACACACTCTCCACTGTGCCTTTTCCTGGTTTCGCCTCACCTTGAGGCCCATCACCTGGCTCCTTCACATTTTTCTGTGCAGTTTCTGGCACACCTTTCCCTGCTTTTGCTGGGCCCTTTTCGTCATTTGACGGCCTGTTGTCACTCTGAGGTTTTGGCGAGTCCTTCGTGCTGGGTTTCTTCAGCTTGCTGTCTGCCTGAGGTGACTTGGGGTCCGCACTGCCCGCGTCCTCATTTGACGGCTGTTTGTGGAGCGGTGACTGGGGGGGGCGGGGCAGCTTGCTTCCTGGTGTTTCTGCCTGATCCCTGACTGGGCTTGATGATGCAGCGGCCGAGGTCTTCCCCGCGGCATCGCCTGGTTTCCCACGAGCTTTTCTGACTGGAGAAAGCGGGCCATCTGTAGCTTTGGGCAGCTTGCTCTTTGGCGTTACTGCACTCTGCACCTGTTCTTTTGTTTTTCCATCTACGCCGTCGGTAGATCCTGGGTCAGCGTCGTTTGAAGCTGCGCCTTTTTCAGTCATACTCTGTGTCTCTGCGGTCAAGCCACCATCTGGTATGGTGGTGGCGCGGGCCGATGAGGATTTTGGCTTCATCTCCGGAGATTTCAGCTTCGACTCTGCCAGCGGTTTTTGCTTCAGCTCTGTCAGCGGTCTCAGTTTAGTCTCCACTGCAGGCTTCTTGGGGATTTTAGATTTGAGGGCGTCGGGGGTTTTGTCCAGCGGCTCAGGAGAGGTGGGCGTTCGGGGCGGCGTTCGGGGCGGCGTTCCCGCGGCCTTTGCTGATGTCACGCCATGGGGCTCTGGC